GTTCGGTACGACTGGACCCTAGGGATATGAACCAATTAATATAGCATGCAATGCACTTGGTCTTTCCTCACAAAAAACATGTCAAGCCAAAACCTCCGCAAGGCCGGGCCAGAGACTGTTCCGCCGTAACTGGCCACTGTCAGAAGGCACCAACTCCCATACACAAATAGTAACAACAAATAGGAGCACATGACATGATTGTGTTGTTTTTTCAATCTGTATTTGTTCCAATCCTTTTTTCAGCACCATCTGCATCTCCTGTGTGCATCGAAAAAAAAGGCCGGCCAGGCCTGTAGGAAGCCATGAGGAGTTCAAGTGGTACACCACCACCTAGGGATGAACGGATGAACGGCCGTTGCGTGCCGGGTGAGTGTCAATCCTGAGGATTCCGAGTGTCAATCCCTGCGGTGCGCATACAGCCAACTGTTTTTCTGGTCAGTTCAAAGCACTCAGTACCAAAAAGCAAACGCTTTTTAAAGGAGGTGTTGAAGTATTTAACTTGCGGGTGCAACCAAAGCTAGTTTCTCTGCTAGCGGGTCAACAGTATCAACATGCATCAACTTCAAGCAGTTACATAGTGCAAACAAAGAATTGCTTGTTGTTTCATGTTGTTTCCACTCATTTCTGGCGCCTGAAGCCACTGGTCAATGGGTCATCACCAAGACGAGCAGGGCCGGGGTCATGCAGTTTTCGGTGGACTGGTCACTGGTCACCCGATCTGCACGTACCGAGCTCAGCACGTACCGACCTACGGTTCCCCCGGTTTCCGACGCTGGAAATGGGACGACGGCATGTTGGCACACATTGAACTTCCAACTGTGTAATGCATGTGTCCTTTGGGGCTGCTATGTTATATAATATTTATCTGAAGAAGGTATAGGCATGTTACACAAAAACATGAAAGCAAAGTCCACCCCCAGTTCGTCAAATCATCATTCCCAAGGGGCCATGCCATCCACTTCATTGTTGGAGGGCGGGTCTATTCCATCCATGTGCTTGGGCCCCTCAAATCGCCCGAATGGAGCCGACTGGTCCTGCCCTGTCCTCCCTCAAAAACCATTCCAAGACCGAAAATGGCTTCGACCCCAGAGCCCTGAGACCCGAGGATTCGTCGGTTTTCTGAGACCCCAGACCCCCTGAGAGCGAATCCATATGCTTCGACCCTTGAGACCCCTTGAGACTCCTGGAGACCCGAGGATTCGGGGCTCCGAACATCTTCTCCACGGTCACCCAGCCGACCCAGCCGACCCCTGACCCTGCCCTGCGATCCCAGAGGCCGCCAGGACGGCGACGGCGCGCAAGCCATCGATGTCGGGGCGATACTGCGGCGTTCGCCTGAGGGACATGGGAGAGGAACCATCTCCCCCAGTAGCTTGGGAAACCTCCGCCCTTCCAGTTTGGGAGACAGGAAAGACATCCAAACTGGAGGGCCGACCAGCCCTAAGGTGTGAAGAGATGCATGAAATTGATGGAAGTCAAGGGCACCAAACCACAAAACCCGCGGCCAAGTGAGATCCCTTGTCAGAGTTGTACTGCCGACCAATATGGCCGCCCTGAATTGGTCTCCCAGCCACTCCATGTAATTATGCACAAAACATTGATTGGGGTCTGGGCTATATAGCTGGATCTTCCAACGACATGCCAAAGTTCAGCAGACATAAAACCAGCCAAGTTAGGCAAACATGTTGCATAGTTGGAAGATCTACATATACCAGGAGTCACAAAGGGGTGGTTTTTGGTCCCTAAGTGAGTGGATGTTCTGGGCACCCCTATCCTCCAAGTTCGGCACCTCGTCTTGTGACTGCTGGCAGGTCCTATATATATATATATATATATATCGGTCTTCCCAGCAAACTCGACACCACGAGCAGTCCAACTCGGATCGAGTGGCTCATCGAGAAACTCGGATCGCGTGTAAGTCTTGGTCACTGTCGCATCGGTTCGAGTGAAGGACTTGTCCCAAGGCTGCTGATGGAAGTAGAACCTCGAGCTGGAAAGAGACATGATTCGTGTGTTTTTCGCGTTTTTTTTTGTTGGAAAACCGTCGTGCTGCCGCTTGCTACGTAGCACACGACTCGAGCTGCTGAGTGAAGAGAGCGTGATAATATTGTTCATGATCAGATTGTGATCTTAGGCTTGTGTCATCTACAAACTCTGCAAAAGTCTGTGCACAGTCTGTACCCACATGATAAACACACTCACTCACAGCCATGGATCGCATCTTACATCAGCTCCATAGGTCATGGCGGCTAAAACCAGATGATCTGGCCATAGCTCAAAAAGACAACCACCATCCAAGCGCACGAACAAAGACGGACCACATCCTTTGCAAGGTCACAGGTTTATTAGAGTGCATGCAAGAAAGCATTCCCAGACACGACCCATGGGACTGCCATAGGACTGCTGAGAAACGGCCAGGGGTGGTTGAAGTCGGCGGTCTGTCTGGGGCGGCAGTCCCAGACAGGTCGTGTCTGGGATTGTTGATCCACTCAATGATTTCTTCGGGATCGGAATCGATCATTCAAAGTCCCAGCCCAGCAGTCAACCACCATGAACAAACACATCGGAGAAACCTCCTCCATGGTGAATAAGTGTGAATTTACATACGGAATGGTTCCAGATGTGTAAAGCAGTTCTACCTGTAGCCCATGATGTCTGCATTGTATTCGAGACATCATGGGCATGCCCCTGGTTCAAATACAGTGTCAAGCAGCTGGGGATAGCCCATGGTTTCTACTTCTAGCTGAGTCTATCTGCCTTTACGAAGTGACTATCCAAGTCATTCACATCGAAGTGGAAAACCACCTGTTTGCTGTTCTAAAGCATTGCCTTCCAGGGGCTTACTCCGTGTAAACCACTCAACATACCAGCAGGCATGTCCATCTCTTAAAGTATCGTGATGCTCATGTTTACCGACTGACCCAAGGACCCCCCAAGGACCCCTCGGACCCCCCAAGGCAAAAAGAAGGACAAAACCATAGGACACCGCCAAGGCATAACATGTGGCATAACCCACCATTCCCAAACACGACCTGTTTGGGACTGGCATACCCAATCAATTGACCCCGACTTCAACCACCTATATGGTGGTCGTATAGGCATGGCTAGTCCGGGACCTCGTGTGGCCGAGGTCCGTCTCCGACCTGTTGGACCGGTCGACCGGTCGGACCTGCCCAGCAGCTCTGAGATACGCTCCCCGGTCTCGGTGTTGATGTGCTGCGCCGACAAGGGGGACAGGGTCATGCTGTCGCCCTGGAGCTTTCCAGGTCGGTGCCCACCAGGGCCCCCGTGGAATTGGGGTGGAATGGACAGGACCTCCCCTTCTTCACGCTATTATTTGGACACCGCATGTTCCAGTCGGATTTGGAGCACGAAGAGAAGACGGCGCACACTGCAAGTCACTTGGAGTGGACCGATCCACGTCCGCGGAAGTACGTAGCTTCAGCTGTGGTCACACACGTCACGAAATGTCGAGCCGGCTGTGTGACACGAGCAAGAAAGGATCCACAAGTTGGTTTGGAAGGATCTAGAAGGATAAGCACAAAGGATGAGCGTTGATATAAGATCTAGGCCCTAGGCTTTCAAGACCATTTGACCTATTTGATCTGTTCTTCGGGCTTCAGGCTATTAAATCAGGTGGGCCAGGAAGCCCATCGGGTATTATAGAAACCACTTGCAGCTATACTTGGAGTGTTTGGGTAATGATCCCCGAATTTCAACTCTTTCCCCTGCAGCTTAACTGCCAGAGACGAAAACCGCGGGGCGAGTTTCTCGCCGTCCTCGATGTCTTGTGGTTGGTGCTTGCCCGGAGAGCAGCCCATGGTGCACGAGGGAGAGGAAAAGCCTAAGAGTATTTCAACAGAAAAGAACAACACCTGGATCTCCAGAGTCTGACTTATTCAGACTGACTTCTGAATGTCTGTCGATGTATGTGATTCATCGCAGTCTTTTCTGGTTGTATGATGTTGTATGTCTAGATGTACCCATGTCTTTTTTCGGAGAGTCATGAATCCTCAATTCCGCTGTCAGCCCAACGTTCAGCGCGCGGCGCTCCACGCGTGTCCAAGCACATCTTCGAGACTCGTCCGCAATGGTCCAATCCTCTGGGCTGGCTGACATCATTACTGCCAGCAAGGTGCCGCAAGTCGTGGCTACTGGTTTTGAGGAAGCCACGTGCGGTTTTTCTGGGAAGAAAGGTATCCAAGTATCCTCTGCAAACCAAGCTGGAATTGGGTCTCCAGACACTCCAAACAGCCCGACTGCTCCCTCAAAACCTGGGAATGGTTCGACCCCAGACCCCTCCATATAGAGGATTCGGGTCCGACCCCTCCATAGGTTCGGGCCCAGGGTTGTGTCTGGGGGATCCGAACAAAAACAGGTTGACCCGCCAAGAACCAACGCGGATCGAGGATCGAGGATCAACTCGGTGGCCGACCAAGGTCGAAAATGAAGGGGCATGGGGTGTCGAAGATGAAGCATCCATGAGACGAGTGTGGGACATGGAGGAAATTATGAGGAATACTATACATTTAATATACTCCATCCAAATGACGCACTCATGTCAAAGGAATTCCGAGGAATTCCATGAGTGTCTGGGCATAAGTCTTCTCATATCAAGCCGATGCTTTCAACAACTTGTTCTTTTCCGATGTGGCATGACAGCCATGCCGGTCTTGAACGCCGCTTCGGCGTGTCTATGACGCGATATGCTCCATGGCAATCCACGGCACAGATGCCAACGAAGGACGTTCTGGTTGGGCCAGATTTGCAGTGGTTTTGCAACTCTTCATCACGATAGTCCTCTCAGGACCCAGAAATTTCATGGACTGAAGTTGGCTCCTGAGAACTAACTTTAGATCGCCTGAACTCATATACATGTCATCTGAAAGCTATACCTGGAGTCTTTAAATAAGAAAATGGGACATGACCCGAACAAAAAACAGTACAAGACTACCCATTGTCCAAGGTACGAACTGAGACTCCAGGCTGCGTTCTAGAATGTCCACTCCGAGCTGGGCGTCCTCGCTGCGTGCCCCCTTAAAAATAGAGAACAACACACTGCAAACATCCCCTAGGGATCCAAGTACCTTCTCAGAAGGTACTTGGACCCTCAAAACCTACATAAGAGGGTCTCCAATCACTTTCTGAGAAGGTACGACTGGATCCCTGGGGATCTGCAAACCTCACGCGGTGAGCCACACGCTTTGCCACACTGCCTCTCACTTGGGTCGCCAGTCGTCCATCCGTTCTTGCAGCCGCGTCTGCGAGCGAGGCGAGCTGGTTGGTGAGGGAAGAACGGATGGTGCTTCTTGTTACTAGTAGCAAAGTAGCTAAGTAGGCTAAGTAGGCTAAGTAGCTAAGTAGGCTACTAATGGCTTCTTGTTACTAGTCGAAGAAAGAGAGACACGATCATAGGGAGCCAAAGACTTTCCCTGAGGCACCAGTCGTACCTTCGTTTCGAAGGTGGGACTGGGCACAAAGTGATCCAAAGACTTTGAGATAGAAGAGTACTGTAGAAGATCTAATTAGAGCCCCATCCAGGATTCGACACACATTCCCTTCGCTCACGCTCCGCGCCAGCATCTGCAAACGCTCCACGCGATGCCGCGCAGTCATCCAATCCTGCCGGCTGTCCCATCGGACCATCTGGCATATTTGCATACATTGACCCTGACTTCGACCACCCCAATGTATGCAAATATGCCAGTCCCAGACAGGTCGTGTCTGGGAATGGTAGCGCTTCAAAAAGCCAAGTCAAAGATTATAGCTGTATCAATCACGCTCTACTAAGAAGGAAACCAGTGAAAGGCCCTCCATGATCACTGTCATCTTCGCATATCTTCGCTATGGTTGCCTTGCTGCACTTTTCAGCTGGGTTCAAATGCCAGTGAATCGCAAGGCCCCAGGCAGGTTGGGGTCAAACGGCGGCCAGATTATCAACAATCAAAATTGGCCATATGTTCATATTCAGCTGGGTTCAAATGGCAGTGGCTCAATATTGCTTACAAACACTGCAAAATATACTTGCAGGTGCAAACCTTGTGGCAGCATCTCATTTTCTTGTCCAAACGAACTCGAACAATGCCCACTCACATTCTGTGAGGGGTTTAATTCGACTAAAACGGCTCTACAAAAAGAAAGACATCTGCAAAGACCGCATCCCAAACAGAACGCGGTACAACCCGAGTTGGGTATATCCCATTCCCTGTAGCAGTGGATGATGGTGGTTGTTCAAGGATCTACTGATAATTGTTTACCAGTACCAACTGTAACAGGAAATGGGACACCCCCAAAACCTGAGTATTCAACTCCAAAGACCGTCATCAGCTTTGCTGATGACCCTGGAAGTGTCGCTTTCCGCTCTTTTCCGCTCGGCAGAGATGGGAGGGACTGAGAGAAGCCGGTGCTTCAATGCAAGGGTAACAGTTCACCAGTTTCTTCATGTTTCTCCAATGCAACCAGGAACCCAAACACTGAACATGTTTTATACCATTCACACTCTTTGCATTCACACGGTGCATTCTACCCATGTTGTGTTGGTGCCGCATCAAAGCCGACCCGTCCGCTGATAGCTATTGCGCCGCAGGCCCAAACAAACGCTCGACGTGGTGTGATGGACACTACGATGGCCTCCTGGCTGCGGCGGCAGCGCCCAGCCCCAACCAGCAGCGAAGGGTCCGGTGCTTTGGGAAGGTATACTTCTTTGGATGATCCAGTCTTCTGGACTGTTCTGGCAAAGAGCCCAAACCGATTGGGGGTAGAGAGTTGTTGAGTCCGTGCTACTATGATAATGACATTCCATAAAATTGCCATAGTAAACCCACTCAACAATGTGGTTTTCCCTTTTTGAACCTGCTCGGCCAATGTCCCAAACACTTCCACGGCCAATGGACCAATCAGTTTGTTTCAGTCAACATGATTTGACCCACCACCATGCCACCCAGCAAGTTTCTTATAGTATCTTCTCGTTTCTTCAGCTCCAATCATATCCTCAGGTTTGGTGGGCACAACCCCCCTGGCACCCACCCAGTCGCAAATCGAAACGTGTACGGTACGACTGCAGCCGATTCTGGGCCTAGGGAGTTTCTCCACTTCCGATTCCAGCTCCCCTGAATCCCCTGAACACCTTACAACTAAGAGCAGGAGCAAAGGGCATCGCTACGAACGGAGCGATCGGACGCTACGAACGGGGATCCTGGCCTTACTAATCCTGAGTCCCTATTTAAAAGCCTCCCCAATTTAAGAAACACCACGTCCGAAGCCCTAAAGTCGGTTTATATTTGTTTTTAAATTGCCGCCCTTTCACACCGCTACTAAACTACCAACATGGTCGATTTGGGGTGTAGTGGGTACAAAAAACAACCGTAACTGCCCACATCTGTCCGCCCTGTGTATCCACCATGACACGCCGCGTCTACACCAGCAGGTTTTCCTTCCTCCAATGGCATGGACTCACGCAAACGCACTTGCCACCGAGGTCGTGCAAAACCGCATGGCACAGCGACATCACCTTTCGAAAGCTTTGGTTGTTAGTCTAATGAAGAATCAGTATTCTAATAAAGGTTTTTGTAGGGGAAAAGGAAGGCCCTTCGATCTGGAGGTTTTTTGAATATTTGATACCAGTTTAATACATGATTATATATATTTTTTTTTCCGAATGACTTTTTGGTTTTGAAGCTCTTCCCAGGTGACCCTATTTTGGACCCCCCCGATTTCCGGGACCTCCTATTTTAAAAAATGCGACCGAGTTTCTCTTAATAGGGGGAGGGGGTGGGGGGGGGAGGCGTAGTTTTTAATAGGTGGACAGGATTACTAGGATCTACTAGGAACAAGGACGCTAGCTAGGGACAGGGACGTGTGTGACGTCGACGTCGTCAACGTGGTCGTGAACGAGTGGTCGTCAACGTCGGGAACCCCGGTGTGACCCATGTCCCAAGCCGTGTTTCACGGGCTCCAGTATACCTCCGAACCCTAGGCATCCACATACCTTCTCAGGTTCGGTACGACTGGGCCCTCCTGGCGCCTACATAAATAGTCTCCAATCACCGTACCTGAGAAGGTACGACTGGATCCCTAGGGAAGGTATTTGGACCATTTGGGATTTTGGAGCTACTCTAGGGCAACCAAATTCACCTTCCAAATTCTTGGACCCCGACCGATCTTCGCGAGAAAAACCGCTTCGAAAACCGAAAGGCAGGGGGGTTGGACCAGGCAGAGGAGGTTTGGACCCAAGAAACAAAAACATCTTTCCAAGAAGGGCCTTGTCTTCATGATAGAGCACACAAGTTCTGCCAGGGACTCACCGTAAAGAGTATTTTTGGCCCAGAATCTGGGCATTAGGCCGGTCCAGCCTGCGTCTGGCGGCTGCAAGTTGAGTGTGATCCTGGCAGGAGCTGATCAAAAGCAGCATGAAAAAGTCGAGGTGCTTTCCTTGAGATGCTGTGGAGAGTCTGATAACTTTTAATAAAACAATTTCTGGATGGCGCACAATTCCTGGTACGCACGTGATTTTCCTCGCTGTTTCAAACATGTGAGGCCTGGCCTTGGGTATCTAAAGATGAAGCTCAATCTCTGTTGTTGGCTTATTGTGCCCTAATCTTGCACTCCACTTTGTGCCGCCTCTTGGCAGCACCTCTGGATCATGTCATGAACCCAATCGCCCCAACTCAGCCTACCCTTTCCATGCCGGTGGCACAAACCCTCGCTCTTGGGCCGTCGAAGGCTCCCTGTCACCTGGCGAGTTGTGCTCGTGCCATTGAAACAAGAGCCATCAAAGCTGGACCATCCTGGACATGGGTGTCCTGTCGACATCTCTAGGTAGTGTAGGGTAGTACAGCATAGTACAGCCAGGACACACAGAAGGGATGGTTAAAGTGTGTGTGTGGGTTTATTTAATTAACATCCGAGGGACTTAAACCATAGCAACTTGAACCGTGCACGGTGTCGGCGATCGTGTCGGCGAAAAGAAATGGCTCGCAACTGGTATGTTGTTTCGCAACAAAAGAGTCAGGCTCCTCGCCAGTCTTCCACGCTTTGCACCTCTGCTAGATTGCTCACTTCTGGGAAAGGAACGCGACTACAAGGCCTCGGTACCCGGGCGACTACTCAGCGGCAAAGACCCAAGGCCTCTTGTGATTTATGGTTGGGTTATCCTGGATAATTGCAAGGTCCTCTGTTCCAAACAATCTCCAATGAAACCGGACACAACAAACAAATGTCAATGTTTGGGCATAGGCTTTTGGCAAGAATGTTTGGGCGAGTCTATTCATTCATTTCACATTAGCCTAAAAACATCCAAGGACGCTGTACTGTGCCGTGCACGATCATCTATCATCACTCATGGTGGCTGCAGCTCAGTCTGAGCTTCGAACCCATTGTGGCGCCACGAGAGGTATGCTGGTGGAGCGCGGATTTTCAGGTAGTCAAAGGTCCCTGTGAGCTGTTGGGTAGGAGCCTGTGAGCTGTCAAACGAAAAAGCTGCATCCCGGCGCAGTATGCGGAATTTTGCAAAACGCAAAAACTCTGGCGAATACATTCCAATTATGATTCGAAAGGTGGGACGCTCAAACATTGGCCCCGACCTCCATGCTTGCAATCAGGCGCCGAAACTAATTCAACAAGATCGATCCATGTTCAATGCATTTCCCACTCTTCCCCTGATCTTGCCTTTTGAATCTGCTTGGGTGTGAACTCAACCCAATTGAAACCACGACACATAGGGTCGTCAGAGGGTCCTTCATCCCCAAGTAAGGGTTGAACATAAACATCTCCGAAACCATTACCGGTCTGAAGGTCTCCCCCCAAACACCTCCTTCAAGCCCAACCAGCGCCTCACTGACCTGGAGCACTTCGGGGGGAAGGAAACAAGATGTCTTGGGGATCTGTTCGGAGTCAAACAGATGCGCGGGGTGTCGAGCAGCTTCTTCCAAAAACTGAGAATCCCCGAGATGTTGTTCACTTTTAAGCCCACCTGTTAGGTGAAAAGTCTCGAGATCTTATGTCAGTCTTTCACCTGTCGCCCTCCGCCCAACCACTGCCTTCCCACCTTCCAAGCAAATATGTCAGAACACATTGCAAAGTTGATGTCAAACACCTGTTAGAAAACATGTCAGACACATTTGCGCTGGACTGTGTCAATTCGGGCTGCGGGCTGCAGAGTGGTGCCCACTGGGCTTTACACAATTCCACGGAAAGGTCGAAACAGAAGACATGCCACAATGCCAGCGCAAATGTTTGGACCTGTGTCGGAAGACATGCATGCCGGAACACATAGCAGCACAAATGTCCAAACACTTGTCGGACATAATGCCAGAACAAATGTCAGAATAGGGAACAGAACACATGCCAGAACTAAATACCTAAATTGACCTAAATAAAGTACTTGAGAGAGGAGGGGGTGAAACACACAAGTCCTGATTGTAATACACTAAAGTAAGGAGAACTCAGGTAGCCTGAGGCTACCTTTCGTGATTCTATTGCCACTTGCTAGGATCATCAACAAGTAAGAGAAGTGTGCCAAAGAAACACCATCATCTCTAGTGTGGCTGGGGGGTCCACAAACGTTTTTTGCTTAGTCACGACCTCACTGACTGGGATATCGCTTACATTGGCAATTGGGGTCA